TTGTCTCCGCCAACAAATTGATCATGGCGCTTTCCTCATGAACCAAACTTTCTATGGCATAAAGTGATCAACGTATCCATGGAAATGACAAGGATGTTTGGAATGTCTTTACAGAAGATCCACTACTCACGTAAGTCCCTAGAAAGCCATTTTCTAAATCCACCCTTTGTTCAACCCCCTGACCCAACTACAAGTGGGAAATGGTACTAGAACACTTTCATCGGAAGATACTTGGTTGGGGACCAACCACTTACCACAAAATTTTCGAGGCCGTACCAATTGTCTACCAAACACACTACTCATGTCTCTAGCTTCACTATTAACACTGGGGATGGCCTATCTTGGAACTTTCACTTTAACTGCAACCTTTCTGATAGGGAAACTTCTAATGTCAACACTACTGAACATACTAAACCCATACATATGACTTTGCAACCAGATTATTGATTATGGACCTTAAAACATTCTGGCTTTTTCATATGTAAGTCTTTCTACTCTTACCTCATAAAAAACCTCAATGCCACGCAGTTCCATATTTCCAATGCTTTTTGGAAAGCTAGAATTCCTTCAAGGTGAAGGTACTTTCATGGGTTGCTATCAACTAGAGCCTCAATACCAATTACATGCTTCAAATCCATTGCCCCAACTGTGCCTTGTCCTCATGTGTATGTGTTATATGTTTTAGAGATGGTGAGACTCACTCCCACTTACTCTATACTGTTTCATGGCTTGGAAAAGGTGGATTGATATTATGGATAAGTTTAGCCTCAGCTGGGTGGTGCCCCCTACTGTGGATAGCTTTTCAAAATTCTGAATACAGGGAGTTGGGGTGAGAAAAGAGGCTAAACTGCCATGACAAGGTGCTCATTTTGCTAGTCTCTGGTGTATATGGCTAGCAAGAAATAGTCGGATCTTCTATGATCAGTTGATGTCAGCCTATGAACTTAGGGAGAGGGTCACCTTCATGGCCTCCCTTTGGGAAAAAGCACATGGTTACTACCTGAACAGCAGCATCTTGGAGCTCCATTACAATTGAGACGTTATCATTTCTAGAAAATAGCGTTGTGCCGGTGTCTTCACTTGTGTTAAGTTTATTTAAGTTCGATTTTTGGAGGATGTCTTATTCTCTATTTTTGTTATTATTTCTTTCTTCTCCCAGTTAATAAAGCTTCTTCTTTTATCGGGAAAAAAAAAAAAAGAAAGAAAAAAAACAGTATATACTGGAAGCAAAATTAACCAGAAAACGAAATTAAATCATCCATCTTGGTCAATCATTCATACTGGGATAAGATGCCAAACACATGAATCCAATTTATCTCAAATCCAACCTATTCTGTTGAAGAAGAAAAAAAAAAAAAAAAAAAAGAGAACTGATGACCGAAAATACCTTTATGTTCTCTCCCCTCTTTGCTCTGTCTTTTCTTCTCACTTATCTTCTCCTTCTTCTTTTCTCTTCTTCTGCCCCCTCTTTTTAAATAATCCGAAAGTCCTAAATCTTCCCAAAGCTCTCTCTTCCTCGGCTTGGTTTCTTCCCTTCTGAAAGCCTCTTTTTCTCCCTTACCAGCCCAAAACCGAACTCTATCTGGCTTTTTCCCCGTCTTCTAGGAGCCAAATCTCTTCTCTTCTTCTTTTATAGACGAACCAAAGCTTCCAACGGAAACCTCTTCTGCTCTCTTCTTCCTTGTGCCGAGCCAACGCCAAACCTCCTGTTTCGGCGCTGCTACCTGCTTCCTTCGTCTTCCTCTGACAAAGCACAATCGCTAGATAGGAAACCGATACGAAGATTTCTCCTTTCTTCTTCGGTGAGAAGCAGGTCTCACGAAGCTCTCTGCTTCTCTCTGGCTGCTTCACTAATGTCCCATCGATCAGAACACTTGTGTGATATCTGATTCTCTTGTCTTCCAAGCTTTCCTCTTTGGTGCAAGGGATAGCATCACGGCGAAGCGGCAGAAGGTAGCGCAGCTCCGTGCTTATCTTCTATGACAAAAGAGTTGCAAGCACGTGTGTGGGTTTCTCTCGGCCTCCTCGATAAATGGAAGGGGATGAGAGTTGAGAGAGAGTTGGAGAAGGGACCATTTGGTGGTAAAGAGACGGAATCATGGGCGGGGCTTGGTTTCAAAAATTAATGGGAAGGACTGATTTTGGATTGAGATGGGCTTGATTATAGGAATAGTAGGAAGATGATGATGTTGTGTTTCATTTTCTTATTATTATTTTTTTCTCTTATTTATTTATTTATTCTTTTTTTAATGATAATAATTAATTATTAAAAATTTCAAAGTGTCATAAATAATTTTTCATTTGCACGTTTTAATTGAGAATTTATATAAAATATTTAAAAGTTATAGTTGCTTACTATTTTAAAATCTAACAACGAAGCTCTTTGAAGAATTATTATTTTTGTGATAATAATGCTTTTAATTTTTCAAAGTTCAAGCCAATTTTCTTTGTTAGTATATTCAAAATTTGACCATTCGTAAAATGATAACAAAAGTAAAGACAAATATTAATTTTTTTTTTCTTTTGTTGCATTTTCAATATCCATAAAAGTTAAATAAATTTTAAAATTAAATATATACTATATTATTCGTGGAACAAAAATTCAAATTTAATAAGATTTGATACAATGACATTATTATAAAACATATCAAATATGTTAAAAAAAAATAAGTAAACAAAAATGTAAAAAAAGAAAAAAAAATAAAAAATATCAATGTACTTAATCTAATTAAAATAAATGCAAAATTTCAATTATTAAAAAAAATTCCAAAAAATAGTAATAGTAGTATTATAAATTTAAACAATATAATAGATTAATTGAGTAAATGATAAATTATACATAAGTAAAGAAAATAGTAAAATATGTGAAAGAAAATATTAAAATAAAGTCAAACAAATAAGGTGGTATAAATTTAAACAAAATATTATAAAATAATATTAGAAAAACACTAAACAAATAAAAGAAGAATATCAAAAAATTGAATAAGAAGTATTCTTCAAAATCTCTACTAATTCTTATAAATTCTATTAATGATCTCCCATAAAATCATAAATTAAATAAAAAATAAACATACAAAATAAGAAATTATAGAAGAAGAAAATGTATATACAGTATTCATATATTAATGACATTTGAAAGTCAATGGTTGAAAGCAAATTAATTAGTAATAATAGTATTATATATGATAATTATATGAATAAATAAAAAATTTGATCATATAATTAAACTAACAAAAAAACCGTATCCAAGATAGATCATAAGAGCACTGGGGATGTTGGTTTCGTAAGTGATATTTTCAGTGGGATGGCAGACATTGAGGACCATTTGCATTAATTCTGCCACCATTTCCCAGTCACCTTCTGCCTCTTAATTTTCAATTTACATTAATATATATATATATATGTATATATGTTTATGTGGGTGTATATATATATATAAATATATGCCATGTCCAAAAAGAGCCAAGTGTCTGGTTCAGCATCTCCACATGTGGCTCAAGAGCTCTCTTTGCAGTTTCCGAGGTCTCCCCTTCCAGTTGTATACTTGCATTAATTTTTATCATGATCGTTTCTAGTAACAATAATTAATATTATTATCAAATATTTTAATTATTAATTATATGTTTTTCTTAAAAAAAAAAAAAAAAAAAAAAACTTTATTGTATATGTATAAAAGCTTGACGATGGAGTAGGTTGTTGGACTTTAAAAATATGGAAGAAAATCTTCAAACTAGGCAAACCCTGGATTCATGTGTATGCATTTATTAATTTTTTAGGTTTGCAAGATATACACTTACACATGTACAAGAGATGTAAGCGTGCTGGCTGCTTCAATCATGCAAATGCTTTATATAATTAAGCATGGGATCTTGTTTATTGCGCATATATATATATATATATATACATATATATTGCTAGGTTTGTACTTCATATTTTCCGGTAAAAAATTTTATGTGTTTAAGTGACTTATATATTCATACCCAAAATGCAATACCGGACAAGTACCTGTTTTGTTTATAGGGGAGAAAACCATTAGCTGCATGCATTGATTTACATATATATGCAGATGTGGGTATATATTTACTTTCTAAATATATATATATATATATACATGCAATCTTATGAATATTTACTTGATTTCTTCTTCTTTTATGAAATGGGAAATCTAAGTTTGATCGTGT